CCTCGTCCTCCTCCCCGTCCCCTCCTCACCCTCTGTTTCTGCTCTTGCTGCTGCTGCTGCTGCTGGTCCTCCTTCTCCTCCTCCTCCTCCTCCTCCTCCTCCTCCTCTTCCTCCTCCTCCTCCTCCTCCTTCTCCTCCTCCCCCTCCTCCCCCTCCTCATCCTCCTCCCCCTCCTCCCACGATTGTCGTTTTCGCCGTCAGGGGACGATTTCCCTATGACTTGTCGGTCATTTTCGGATGCGTTTCTGGGTATGTTTTTTATTTGTCCTTCAAAATCTGCCTATGGGGGGACATGCCCGACCTAACACTTGGCTAGTGTGACATCCTCAAGGTTCGGAAGCCCGGCTGGCGTTTCATAGATCTGACCCTAGGGAAGCAAACAATGACATAAACATAACCCGAGTAAGCGATTAAGGACCCCCCCCCCCCTCTCCGGTGAAAGGATAACGCACCCGGCACCCGGAAGCGTTATCCTGGCACCAGGAGGGGGTGCACCAGATCGCACGGGTCCCACTGGCCAGGCTCAGCTTTTCTCAGCTTTTTTTTAGCTTTTCTAAGCTTTTCCTTAGCTTTTCTCAGCTTTTCCTTATTCGTATTCGTATTCTTATTCTCATTACAATTCTAATTGGGATGCCACCCGAGGCGGGGCGCTGGAATTATTTATTTTCCTTCCATTTGCGCGGTGCTAATAATATCGCTCGGCGAAAACCCCCCCAAATAATCATTTAATTACGGCGCGGTGCTAATGATAACGCCGGGGGGGTCCTTAATTGCTTCTCCGGGTTAACAAGTCGGCGGTCCGCGCGGATTGCTCGGATCGGCGTTCGGCCTCCCTCCTTGGCGCTTGGAGCGCGCCAGGAGCGGCGCAGGAGGCGCCGCCAGGGGACCCCAGCGCCGATCCTAGAAATCCGCGCGGACCTCCGACTTTTTACTGTTTATGCCATTTTTCGTTGCCCTAGACCTGCAGGGGGGGATAGGTTTCACGTGCGGCTGCTTGAGGCCACCCCCCGCGCGCCGCGGCAAGAGACCACGGCGGCAGGCTTTTGCCGATGTTCCGCCTCGTAGGGCCCATGGCTGGGCCCCAGGACACTGCCGAGAAACGGCCCAGGATGAACATGCCGTCCTTGGGAGGAGGTCCAGAGCCAGGGGTTCCGGCGCACAGGCGGGCGCTGCGCTCTGGGGCCCCCCAGTGAGGCTACCGGTTCTGCACAGGCACCCCCTCTCCAGGTATTCGGGGAGGAGTGGCCTTTCGCAGAAGAGGCCACTGGCCTGCAGTCAGAATTGATAGTCAGGATGATCGACGCCCCAAGGGACCCTTGCGTCCCTGCATCTTCGGTCCATCCTTGACCACTTTCGATGGCCGGCCCCGCTCGAAGGGTGTCGGCATGGCCTTCCAAGGGGCCTGCATCCTCCTCTCGGGGGAGCGTAAGACCCGGGTTTGCCAGGACTCGGGTTCGCCATCGTTTTTTGACGACCGCGACTCGGATTTTGACGAGTAGGAGTATCGTGGGATGTCTGCAGCGGGAGGTCTCGTCAAAATGCAGGCTCGGCCTCGTCATTTTTTTGACGACCTCGTCGGGGATCTCCGAGTCCCCTGTACCCGGGTCTTACGCCCCCCTGCGCCTCGCGCACCCTTCTTCTCAGCCTCGACTGCAGGCACCCCGCGGGGGCGCGAAGGGACTGGCGCGTCGCGCGTCGCGCGCCCTGGGCCGGAGCGGCCGCCCTCCTCTCAGGGGGGCGGCGCGAGGGCGCGAAGATCCTCTTCGCGCATCGCCGGGCGCGAGGGCGCGAGGTTGGGCGACCTGGTCTCTGGACGCCCGAAATGGGCACGGGAAAAATGGGTACGATGCCCTGTCCTTGTGCGCGCCGGCAACATCTCGGATCCGCGAAGGGGGTCCGTCGCCGTCGATCGATCGCCCTCCACTCCGGGGGGGAAAGAAGCACAGACTCAATCAATCGTCGACTCCCAGGAGAAGATGGGGAAACGTGGGAAGCCCGAGGAGGGGGCGAACATCCAGAAAACATCAGAGATAAAAGGGGATCCGGGGATTTGTGTCTATTCATTTGTGTGCCCCTGGGCTCTGGACGCCCGAAATTGGGCAAGGAAAGAATGGGTACGATGCCCAACTTCGGTTCCTGTTCACTCCGAACAGGGCTCGCTGTCCACGCCGCCGCGGCCTGTGTCCATTCGAGACAGGAGGCCGCCTGCCCAACAGCGGCCGCTGTCGGTTCGGGACAACATGTGCTGTTGGGCATTGTACGCATTCTTTCCGACGCCCTTTTCGGGCGTCGGCGCGGCTCCACGAGGCTTTACACCTCGGAGGAGGGGAGGCGGATCCGGTCGACAGAGGGGGGGGGGCGTACAGTCGGCCCTCATTAGTAGGTCGACCCTGCCAAATCAAGGGTATCGTTGTGTCTTGCATTGCGGGACCCATGCCTCCTGTATTCCTGTGGCGACGTGGTCTTCGGAAGGGTCTTGTGTCCTCTCGCGTGTCCTCTCCAATCCAGTCCGACTGTATAGGGGAAAGGGGGGTGCGCCATCTGCTGCGTGCAGCCCGCCTCGGCCCCTGCCGCCCAGCGGTTCTCTCTGCACATTGGCGGCCTCCCGGCGCCGGGAGGCGCCACGAACGTCAGCTGCGTTGGTCCCCCTCTGCCTCAAGAGTCACCGCCCACCAAACAACCCCAACCCAACCCGAAGGCCCCGATTTGCCCTCCACTTCCAGTGGGGGGGGGGTCGGGGAACATGGAGAAAAAACACACACATGAAGCCCGTGCCCCCCCCCCACCCGAAATTCGGGCCTTCGGGTTGGGTTGGGGTGGTCTGGTAGGTTGTCAAAGAGGAGCGGTGGGATCCCTCGAGGAGTGAGGAGCGAGCAGCAAAAGGGGGAGTCGCCGCATAGGCCCGGCACATCTGCAACTCCTGGCGTGCCGTGCCCGGCTGGCCGGCGGCCAGGCGGCCAGGCGAGGCTCGGAGGGCTCGGAGGGCTCGGAGGGACGGCGCCCGAGGGGAGTATGCCGGGGGCCTGTGCGTTTGAGCGGACTCTGGCCGGGACCCAGGCCCCCTTCGAGCAGTGACAAAAATCACGACGGACGTTTTTTTTTTGTTCCCCCATTTTCGGCATCTGGGGGCCCTCGCCGGGCCCCGGGACCGTCAGGGAACGGCTGAGGATGAGAAGCCGGTCCCGGGGAATGGGTCGAGATTTCTGGGGGTCGACGTTGCGATAAAATCATGACGTTAGGCATCATCATCATCACCACGATGGGACAGGCAGTCGGGAAGGTCGGGATCAGAAGATCCCGAGAGTGGTCAAGGACCCCGACGAAGGTTCGGGGGTGGGCGCCAGAGGGGAGTGACGCTGGGCACCCGCGTTTCAGCAGACTCTGGCCGGGACGCTCAGTTTCTCCTAGCAGCGCTTGCAGCAAACAGTGCTGGCGCATGGGGATCCCCGCTTCTCTATCTCAGAGCGTGAATTACCTACCCCGCTCTCGCTTCCAGGCAAAACCAAGTCACACACCACGCGCCTCCCGTCAGGCGGCCTGACCAGTGCAGGCCGCAGTTTGGCATCGTCTGGTATCTCCTGGAAGCGAGGGTGGCCAAGAGCGAGGCAGGTTTGTTGTCCCCCTCTCATCACCTCTCTCTCCCTCTCTCTCTCTCTGCTGAGCTGGGTGGGCCCGCCGCTGTTTGGCCGCGTGGCCGCCGCTGGGCGCCTCGTGCGCGCTGGGCGGGCCCGCCGAGGGTCTCGCCCGTGGCCAGCCCGTGGGCGCCCCTGGGCGCCTCGTGCGCCGTGCGGGTCCCCGCCGAGGTCTGCCTGCAGTGCCGTTTTTTGAATACATGCTCCGCGTGCCGGTCACGTGTTAAAAATGCAGGGATTCAGTACGAGAAACAACGATGAGTTCATGCATACAAGTACTCATACATCAATCATGTATTCAAATCCTATATGTTTGAAAATGGAGGAGGAGGAGGAGGAGGAGGAGGAGGAGGAGGAGGAGGAGGAGGAGGAGGAGGAGGAGGAGGGAGGAGGAGGAGGAGGAGGAGGAGAAGGAGGAGGAGGAGGGAGGAGGAGGAGGAGGAGGAGGGGGAGGAGGAAGAGGAGGAGGAGGAGGAGGAGGATGTATTAAAAACTGCCCTGTGCCCCCGGTGCCCGCCCGTGGCCCGCCTCGAGGGGGCGCCCCGTGCGCATGGGGGGGGGGCCGCCGGGGTGCGGCCACGCTTGCGCGGCCGGTGCCTGCCCCGAGGGCGCCTGCCTCTCGTGGGCGCAGCACGGGCTGCAGCACAGCTCGGCGTCGCTCGGACGTGTGCATTTTTGGGGCTGTCTGGGGGCGCATCTATGCTTTGTGGGTCTCATTCTATCTTCCTCTCCCTCCAAGTCCGCCGGCCCTGTCCATGTTCCTCTTCTATCTATGTTCCTGTGAGCCCTCCAAGTCCCTCCAAGTCCCTCCAGTCTATCTTCCTCTCCCTCCAAACCCTCTTCCTCCCTGAGCTGATCTTAGGGGAACAAAAAGTGACCTTGGCATCGCTCGGACGTGTGCATTTTTTCTCGGCGAGAACCATCGAGGACCATCCTGGACCATCGAGCAACAACAAAAACCGCGCACGAAACCGACCAATGCACGGGAAATGGAGGCCCGAGCGACGGCAAGACAGGAGCGTGCACCGCACAGCCTACAGGGCATAGAGCTTGCACAACACACAGCTGGCGCCACGCAGCCTGCGCCACGCAGCTTGCGCCGTACAGCTTTTTCGCCGAGTAGTTGCCACCTCCAGCTCCCACCACGTAACATAGCCTACACTTCCGGCGCACAACATGACACAGCCGAAGTACATCACACAGCTCACAACGCGCAGTCTCCCACTCCCACGATACAAGTACTCGCTGCTTGTGGGCCACGCTGGCTAACAGGTTCTATTCCATCTGGCGCATGTGCACTGTAAGTTGGTCGCATGCTCGCCCAGCTGCGCTCAGTCCGCCCATCCCGGCCCTTGCCCCCGAGCCCAGGCGACGAAGACGACGGGACCGAGCAGTTCTTCTACACGGCCGGGGGGGGGAGGAGGGAGGGAGGGGGGGAGGGAAGAGGAAGAGCGGGTGACGAAAGATTGAGTGTGGGAGGAGGCCAAGGGGAGGGAGGGAGGGACGGAGGAAAGAGGAGGGGCGAGAGAGCATGGGGGGAGGAGGGGAGGGAGGAGGGGGAGACAGGGGAAGGCATAGCAGAGGGCCAGGGGCAGAGCTCGGTGTGCGCGGGACGGCCGACGAAAAATCTGAAGGGGACGGGGGGGAGCCAGCAAGGAGGGGAAGGAGGGTGGGCGGGAGGGCGGACGGCGAAGAGGCTGAGCGGAGGAGGGGAAGGGGGGGAGGAGGGGACGAGAGGGGGGGAGGTCAAGAGGAGAAGAGAAGAGATGGTCAGGAGGAGGGTGAGGGCGGTGAGGGGCGGAACAGAGACGGAGAGATTTGGGAGAAGGGGGCGAAGGGGAAGGAGGCGAGGAGGAAAGTTATGCAGGAGCTGAGGAGAAGAGGGAGGAGAGGAGAAAGGAGGAGGAGGAGGAGGAGGAGGGGAAAAGGAGGAGGAGGAGGACCAGTGTAAACCCAGGAGTCATGAACGATGTTGGAATTAACCCTCCCTCCAAGCTCCCTCTTCATATGCCCCTACAGCGGGTCATTCCCATCGAGGGAACTGCCTCGTTGGAAGACAGCCTTGAAGACCCTGAAGCATGGCAAATCATTGTTCTCGAGATTTCAACGCCTCGCATCAACATGACTGCTGGGTCATGACGATCGGGAATCGTACAAGAACGCCATGTTGGGGACTCCAGCACGGCGAATCAACATAATTGTTGCGCCCGCATGATCCTGATCCCTTACAAACAATACATTTCTGGTACGTTGATCATGGGAATCTGTGAAGCACTTCCAAATTTGATGAACGAATGTGCGCGGCGCTAAGGCGAGAACCACATTTTGAAAAGGAACCGCCCTCAATCCGTGAAACTCTTGCAATGTTTAACCGGGTGTGCGCGGCGCTACGGCGAGAACCACATGTTGAAAACCACCCGCCTTCAATACGTGTTTTTTTTACAAATTTCAAATTCTAGCCAATGTTTTAAACGAATGTGCGCGGCATTTTGGCGAGAGCCACAGTTTGAAAAAACCGCTCTCAAGCCGTGAAGCTCTTGCAAGCTTGTTCAACGAATGTGCGGGGCGCTAAGGCGAGAGCCACATTTTGAAAACCACACGCCCTCATTTCATACATCTCTTGCAATTTGTTTCAACGAGCGAGTGCGGCGCTAAGGCGAGAACAACATTTTGAAAACCACCCTTTCTCAATCTGTGAAGCCGATGTCATGTCTTAAGCCTCATAGTCAGAAATGGTGAGGAACTCCAGGCCCGCCGTAAATTTATGCTCCGGGGTGCGACATGGAGAAATTATTTCCAAGGAAAAGGAATTGAAAAGGAATAGGGGAGGAGGAGGAGGAGGACGAGGAGGAGGAGGAGGACAAGGACGAGGAGGAGGAGGAGGAGGAGGAGGAGGACAAGGACGAGGAGGAGGAGGAGGAGGAGGAGGAGGAGGAGGAGGCTGGAGGAGGGGACAAGAGGGCAGACTGCTGCGGAGGAGCAGGAGAAGGGGCGCGCCTCCCTCCCGAGAGGGTTCAGCGCAGCTTGTCAGCGGAGGGCTGCTCGGCCCACCCTCTGGGCGGCGCGTGCGGGGTTGCCGGCGCGAGGGGGTGGCGCCCTCAGAAGGCGGAGGCTCCTCAGCCCCAGAAGAAAGCCGCTCGATGGGGGGACAGAACCCCCCACAGTGACACGTCGATTCGTGAATGGTCCGTTTTCGGTTCTCGAGAGGGCGCCGTGGCCGTTGTTTTCCAGGCCTGCGCCCGCCAGGTTTGGGCCTCTGGTCGTTTTCGCTAAACCACGTTTTACTAAAGGGGGGTCTGTCCATCCCCGAATGGGAGAAACGGGACCGATGCCGCTGCCCATCGGTCTTTGAAAGTAGGTATCTCTGGATTCCCAGATCCCAGATCTTCTTCGAGCGGCTCCCTGCTTCAAGAATCGATGTGCTTATGCTGCGTTTGGTTACTCTCTGGGCGGGCCCGAACCCAATCTGCTCTATCCGCCTTCCTACTTCATGCTTCAAGAAGAGAGCCGCCATAAACATGAAACTTTTGGCGCTCCGCGCGGATGCCTTGGATCTGCGCGGGGCACCCCTCCCCGGCGCGCGGATCGCGCCAGGGGGCGGGCCGTGCTCGCCGACGTCGACGCGCCGGCTGCCCGCGTGGGGTCGCGCGTGGGCGCACTCGTCTCCAGGGCGGCCTGCCGCGCTTCGGCGGCCCGCGTACAGTAGGGGTCCTGAAGAAGGAACCCTTTTCGTTGGGGAGGGGCTCCGTGATCCTTGATTGTTTCACAGTTTGCTTCAGGCTTTCCTCAGATTTCCGAAGGCAATCGCAGTTTAACTTCTGGACAAAGGGGCCTCGTTCCTTATTTAGGGTTCCTTGGGTCAACGCCCCAACTGTAAGCCACCATGCAAGGTCGCTGCGTCTCCTCGCGCAAGACTCGAGTCGGGCATGTCCGTCTACAGGGGGAGTATTCAAACATAGTTTCTAAACTACTATTGGGTCATTTTTCTTGTTCTTTTCTCAATCCAATAAGTTTGAATCTATGTTTTGCTAGTTTTCATTGTATGTTTGAAATCCGCCTGTAGGAGGACATGCTCGACCTGGCGCAAGACTCTTGTTTCATCGCCGCTCGGGTGCCTTCCGAGGAGGGCCCGAGTGTTTTTTGAGGAGAGCTGCTCGCAAACCGGGGGGGGGTTCTAAGAGGCCCCTCTCGCTTGCTTGGAAAGAAGGCCGAGGCCTTCGCGCAAGGCCGCTCGTGCGCGCTGCGGCCTGCTGTGGGGAGGGCGTCTTCGGAGCAACGGGTGGCTGCGCCGCAGGGTGGGGGCGGCTCAGGCGCTCGACGTCACCGACAGGGCCTCCGTGGGGTCGGACAAGGAGCCTGTCCCCACAGGGCCCGCGGCTCCTCCCCCTTCTCCTCCTCCTCTTCCTCCTCCTCCTCCTCCTCCTCCTCCTCCTCCTCCATTCCTTTTCCTTATAAATGATCTCTCCCTGTCGCACCCCCAGACCAGTTTGTACCGGGCGTTTCGCCTGAGAGTTCCTCACCATTATGATCCTGAAGCTTGGTGGGCGGCGGAGTTTCACAGATGAAGGGCGGGTGGTGTTCAACATGTTGTTCTCGCCTTGGCGCCGCGCACAGTCTCTTCAATCATTTGCACGAGCTTCACGGATTGAGGGCGGGCGGTTTTCAACATGTGGTTCTCGCTGTAGCGCCGCGCACATCATTTGAACAATTCGCAAGAGCTTCACGTATTGAGGGCGGGTGGTTTTCAACATGTGGTTCTCGCCATAGCGCCGCGCACATTCGTTTCGACAACTTGCAAGAGTTTCACGGAGTGAGGGTGGGTCGTTCTAAAAATGTGGTTCTCGTCTTAGCGCCGCGTACATTCGTTTCAAACATGTGGAAGAGTTTCACGGATTCCCATGCTCAACGTACCAGAGATTGCGTTGTGGAGCGATTCAGGGCTACGCGGGCGCAGCAGTTATGTCGATTCGCGGTGCTGAAGTCCCGGGTCCCAAGAATGCCGTTTTGGTACGATTCCAGATCGTCAAGACGCAGCAGTCAGGTTGATCCGTGGCGTTGAATTCTTGAAGAGAAAGTTTTGGCATGCTCCAGGGTCTTCCAACGGTTGTCTTCCAACAAGGCAGTTCCCTCAGTGGAAATGAACCGTTGTAGGGGCCTATGAAGGGAGAGCTTGGAGGGAGGGTTGACTCCAACATCGTTGATGACTCTTGGGTTTACACTGGTCCTCCTCCTCCTCCTCCTGCTCATCCTTCTGCTCCTCCTTCTGCTCCTCCTCCTCCTCCTCCTCCTCCTTCTCCTCCTCCTCCTCCTCCTCCTCCTCCTCCTCCTCCTCCTCCTCCTCCGTGGGGTCGGACAAGGAGCCCGTGCCGGCTGGGCCGACGGCTCCTCCGCTCTCTTGTCGTCACGAGGTGATGCAGCCAGGCAGTGCCTCGTGAGATCCCCGTTCTGCCGCCTGCCTGTTGCTTGGGCCCCTCTGGGCGTGCCCTCGCGGCCGCGGCCGGACGCGTCTCGGACATGCGGCCGGGGCGCGGGCCAGCCTTCTCGGGGGGTGCCAAAGGTGCCCCATGGCCCACGGTGCCTCCAGCTCTGCGCGCTCCCTGCCGGAGCACCCTGGGGCCCCACTGGGCCTCGTGCGGGTTGCTCTGGAGGCGGTGGGGGCCTCCTCGGAGATCCTGGGGGGCACTCTGGGCCAGGGGTACTGCCTGGCCTTCCTTGCTCTCTGAGCCTGGGGGGGGTCGAGAGACCCCAGGGTTGGCAGCTGGAGCTTGTTTGTCGGCGGCGAGGCAGAGGCAGTCCGCTCCAGCGTGTGGCTACTCGGGGCAACCGAAAGGCGAATTGTCTTTGGCACTTGGAACAGGTCGAGTCGTCGCTTGTTCGCCCCTTCACTCTTCCTGCGCACGGTGCCCTCTCTCGGTGGCGCGCCGAGGGGGACCCGAGACGGGGCGGGCCTGCTCCGAGCCTTGCAGGAGGCCTCCGGCCTTCGGAGAAGCCTTGCGTGGCTCCAGAGCAGGCTCCAGCAGTGTTGCAGTGCAGCTGTTCTCTCGTGCCGCACTATGGAACAACTCGTGTCGAGGGAGGCTGCATGTCTCGGTCCAGCGTGTCCGGGTCACGGGGCCCTGGCCGTGGCTTCGGCGCAGGCTCGGGAATCTCCTCCGAAGGCCTGGGCTCTCTGAGCCTTCTGAGAGGCCCGCCCCCAGACTGCCCCCCCCTCCTGGTCTCGCCGCCGAATCTCTGCGCCTAGCCGCGCAGCTCCCCCACGACCGCCCCTCCCCGAGCATCGCCAAAGTGCATCTTCTTTCCTCCTCGGCGAGGAGCATCTCGGATCATCTCGGGGAAAAATGCACGCACGACACCGACAAATGCACACAGAGGGGACGTCCGAGCGATGGCAAGCACCCCCAGGCCCTCCTTCGGAGCTGGATTCCGGGGGCGCGGGCCAGGCTTCACGCGTGCACCCGGGCCCGTGTGGGCGGTCTTCCCTCCACCTCCGCCTTGCATAATTACCTTCCGACATCCTGTAAGCCTTACGCAAGGCAAGGAGACCCACATAGGTCAGATCGAACAAGGGGCGGAAGGTCAGGTCGGAAGGTCCAGAAGAAGGATGATGATGATGATGATGATGATGAGGAGGAGGAGGAGGAGGAGCAGGAGGAGGAGGAGGAGGAGGAGAAGGAGGGGGAGGAGGAGGAGGGGGAGGAGGACAAGTTAGGTGCGCTCGCGTCAACATCTGACATCCTACCCCTCCCTCCCATCCCTTACCATGGCGCTGATTTTCTCTATCCGCGGACGCGTGTCGTGGCGGACCTGTGGCTCCGCGCGCGTGTGCGTGGTGGGTGGTGGTGCGCGTGCGTGCGTGCGTGTGTGCGTGGTTGTGGTTGTTGTGGTGGTGGTGTGTATGTGTGTGTGTGTGTGTGTGCGTGTGTTTGCGTGTGTGCGCGTGTGCTGTGGTGTGACGTGGTGTGGCGTCTTGGTGGTTTGGTGGTGGGCCAGGTGCGTACGTGCGTGATGGCGGTGGTGGTGGTGGCGGTGGTGGTGTGTGTGTGTGTGTGCGTGTGTGTGTGTGTGTGTGTGCGCGTGTGTGTGTGCTTGCTTGCTTGCTTGCTTGCTTGCTTGCGTGCGTGCGTGCGTGCGTGCGTGCGTGCGTGCGTGCGTGCGTGCGTGCGTGCGTGCGTGTCTGTGTGTGCGCGCGTGTGATATGGTGTGACGCGGTGTAGCGTGGTGGTGGTGGGTGGGGTAGTGCGGTGGTGGTGGCGGTGCGCGGTGGTGGTGCGCGTGCGTGCGTGCGTGCGTTGGTGGGTGGAAGTGGCGGTGGGTGTGCGTGCGGCGGGGCGGGGTGTGGTGCGGCGCGGTGGTGGCGGGCGGATGGGCGCGCTAGAAAGAGACCCGCGCTGGGGCGAGAACTCCATCCTGAACGACGGAGGCAAAACACCGATCCGAAAATGAGGCCCACGCTGCAGCGGGAGCACGATCCGGAACGATTCGGGAGCAGAAGTGAGGCCGGCGCCTCAGCGAGAGCAGCATTTTGAAAAAAAACGCAAGCGAAAACCCAATTCCGGGGAATCGTGTGTAAAAAAACCTGTACGCGGGGGTGGGGGGCGAGTACGCAAAAGACGTCATCAGGGGAAGAGGGAGAGTAGTATTCATATTGAGTAATTGTGGAGGAGGAGGAGGAGGAGGAGGAGGAAATCGGGGGCCCTTGCCGACCAGTCGTCCAGATGTGCGCGACGGCCAGAGCTCCCCTTCCCGCGCCCGTCCCCTCCCCCACCAATGCCGCCCTCCTGTCCTCGGGGGTGGACAGAACCCCCACCCTGACTCATCGATTCGTGAATGGTCCGTGTTTTCGGTTATCGAGAGGGCGCCGCGGCCCTCATATTCCAGGCTTGCGCCCGCCAGGTTTGGGCCCGGGGTCGTCTGCACGAAACCACGTTTTGCTAAAGGTGGCGCTGTCCATCCCCGAGACTGTCCCCCCGTCGGTGCTTTCGTCGTCCTCGTCCTCGCCGCGCTCCCGTCGTGCTCGCTTCTCCCAGAGACCTCCGACGTCGTGCTGTTCGCGGCGTGCCCCTCCCCCCCCGGAGGGTCTGGACCCCTTCCCCACGACGGGCTTCCCATCCCGAGTCGTTGTGTCGTGGTGCCAGTTTCGCAATGCAGATTTCGTTTGGAAACCTATGGGATGGGCCCAGACTGTTTGTCCTGGACAATCTCGCTCAGGATTTTGATGTGAATTTCGTGCGGGCTTCTCTTGGCCAGGAACGAAACCACGAAACATGCACGTGAAATTCACTCCGTGTTTTCGCTTTCGGTGTTTTGCATTGACAGAAATCCACGCGAAAATCCGCTACAGCACGTCTGCAAGGTCGGTGCAGTGAGTTGTGTGTTGACGGTCCCGGGGCCTGGGGCCGAAACCCTCCCGTCGTGGGTTTTTGTCCGCAGCAAAGTGGAGGGCAGGGGCAACAACGGGGGGGGATGCACCGACCCGCAATCGCCAATGGATCGCCGACTGGGGCTTGACAGCCCCCCCCACGCCCAGGAACGTGCGGATTCGCTATCGGGGGCCTATCGCCGATCTATCGGCGGTGCATCCCCGATTCCAGGTCGATGTCCCCCCCTATGCCAGTCCCCCCTCCCCCCCGTTCGTTGCCCCTCAGGAGGTGGGGAGGTTGGCGACGGGCCCTTCTCTCCCCTGACCGAGGGGGGGCCGTGCCGACAGGACCCCGAGCACTGGAGGCAGCTGCGCGCCCTGCTGGTCAGCCACGGGGCGCGCCACACCACGCAGCTGCAGCTGGCCAAGCGGCAGGGCGTGCGGGTGAAGGCCGGCGGCGCGCGGCCCATCCGCGCGCGCGCGAGAGGGCGTCGGACGCCGGAGGAAGGCCCTCCGAGGCCCCCTGCGAGGGCACTCGGAGGACTCTCGGAGGCCCCCTCAGAGGCCCTCGGGAGGCCCTCGGACGTCCTCGCACTCGGCTCGGACGACAGGCGAGGGCTGGGCAAGAGAGGGAGGCCACGAGGTCCCGCTGCGCGGGAAGCTGGTTGCCTGGATACGTTGGCGCGCCTCTGGTCGGAGGTGGACAGACCTCCTACCCTGACACGTCGATTAAGGAATTGGCCGTTTTCGGTTCGCGAGAGGGCGTCGCGGCCGTCATGTTTGCGGGTCCAGGTCCGTCGGTTTCGGCCCCAGGCCGTTTTCACTAAGGGGAGGTCTACTAAAGGGAGGTTTGTCCACCGCCGATCTGGCGCTGGGAGGCAGCAGGGAGAGCAGCTGCGCGAGCGGACACGCCGACCCCCACCTGCTGCCGCTCTCGGCACTTGACAGAGTACAGCTTCAGAGGCGTCCCTCTCAATAGGGGCCAAGCCGCCCAAACCTCGACGCTCGACTTTTCTGTGCCGACTCTCCGGCGCTCCCTCCCCGCGGAGCGGCCCCGAGAGCTGCTGCCGCTCTCTATCTGCCGTTCAGCTCGCTGGACGCTCCCGGCAGGCCCTCGGAGAGCCCTCGGGCGGGGCCCTCTTGAGGGCCTCGCGAGGCCCTCGGGAGGGCCCTCGGGTGGCCCTCGCGAGGCCCTCGCGAGGCCCTCGGAGAGCCGTCGGGCGGCCCTCGCGAGGGCCCTCCTGGGGGGGCCCTCGGGCGGAGGCAAGCGACAGCCCCACAGGCGCATCTCTCCCCGAGCGGCCGCGCGAGGCCCGAGTCGAGGCGCGAGAGCCAGCCGAAGTCAGAGCGTGAATTACCTACCCCGCTTTCGCTTCCAGGTAAAACCAAGCCATACCACGCGCCTCCTCGTCAAGCGGCCTGACCAGTAACAGGCTGCAATTTGGCATCGCTTGGTATCTATTGGAAGCGAGGGTGGTCAAAAGCGAGGTAGGTTCGTTTGCCCCCTACGAAGGAAGGGCCTCCCAGGGGGGGGGGACATCGCAGGGCGACGGGGCTCGGCGCAGCGAGGGAGATCGACCTGCGATGCAGCCTTGCCTGTCCGAGCCGCCGCGGGAGGGGGTTGGGGAAGAGGAGGGCGACGGGAGTCGACGAGAGGCGGATGGGGGACGAGGAGTTCGAGGAGGATGGAGGATCGGAGGAGGGAGGAGGGAGGGGAGAGGAGCTCCTTGATCGGTGGGGACGGAGGCGAGGAGCGGGAGGACGTCTGAGGAGGCGGAACGGCCAGGAAGGAGAAGGAGCGATGAGAGCGAGGGAGGAGCGAGACGTGGAGGATGGGGATGATTCCGTGGATGGAGGTGTTTCTTCGAAGGCCCCGAGGCAGAACGTCATCAGAAACAAACTTAGCGAGCGGCGCGGGCCGACAGCTCTCTCGTCTTGCCACGCTCAGAGAGGGCCAGCATTCCCCCAGTGGGAGACAAGCTGGTGGAGCTTGCGCTGGGCTGACCTGCAGCCGAGCCAGCAGCAAGCAAAACAAACGCGGGCACTCGTGTTGAGTCCACCGCGGACCCACACGAATGGTGCGGGTGCAAACCACGACGATTTTTGAACAACGTTTGCTCTCCGCTCTTTGAGATGTCAGGAGGACAGTCAGAGGCGAAGCGCACGCAACGGCGCCTGGAGTACGCTCCGCAGCGGAAGCAACACGTTTGCGGTAGCCTTTGAGCATCTTGGATCGTCGCGACCCCCACGTTGTGCCTTCGGAGCTCCGTTCCGCGAAGCTTTATGAGGGCCGTGTGGGGGGGACCACGGCAGCCTGTCATCGGGCAGTCCTGCCCGGACGACATGCTGCAATACTTGCTGTGCCTCCATCCTGAACCCGTCTCGACCGTTGACCAGTCGTGCGAACTCGGATCTCTGATTCGCCTGGGTCGGAGTCTTTTGGGCGCGCGGCAGACTGGGTAGTCGAAGGCCAGACTGGCAGATTGGACTGGGCCCCAAGGGCCAATCTGGCCTGGCCAAATTGGAGGATTTGGGTTATTCGCCAGACTGGATTCGCGTTGGCTCCCTCGCCAGATTGCCCCCGTTTGCCAGATTGGGATTGCCAGATTGGCTCCAGATTGGCTTCGACTACCCAGGCAGTCATCGAGTTTGGGGTGACAGGAGAGGACAGCAGCAACCATCTCAGGGTAGCGAGAGCCTCGGGGGGTAAGCCTCCTGGGAGCAGCGTGAGAGCAGGCCTGGCTGGCCTGTCGGCGTCCTGGCTGCCTCTGGCAGCCCTACGCTCCCAAGCAGATAGAGACTCTCAGGAGGGGAACAACAACACAGACACAAATAATCGTCGACTCCCAGGAAAATATGCAAAACTATGGGAAGTGGGGGGGAGACAAAAACCTATAAAATATGCGAAAATATGGGGAATCGTTTTATTTGTGTGTATTTATTTGTGTGTCCTGGGGCCCCTTCAGACTCTTATGGTTCCCTTAGGATTGTGAGCCGTTGGGGTGTGGAGGTCGGGTTGGCCCAAAAAGGGGTCCAGCGACAAGGAGGTGGTGCAATATATTTAGTGCAATAGATTTGTGGGTTTGCAATGTATCTGCGGCGGGCAATACATTCTGGGGCGCAAATGTATTGCTGGATTTTCGTGTACAATGCCTTACCTGCAATACAATGCAATACAACTCTCTGGCGCAGTACATTTGCAATACAATTGCCCCGAATCTCTTGCACCACCCCATTTCAGCTGGACCCCCTTTTGGGTCACCTCAAGGAGGGCGACGCTGAGGAGGCCGTTGGGGGCCTGTTTGCTGGCCCGTCTCCTGCAAGCAAGAAGTCATACACCCGGAGATGAGTAGACAGAAGTTAAAGTCTGGGCCACGCTGCGCTACACAGTCAGCTTTGCTGCGCGTACGAAGTGCCGCCAGGAAATTTCATTAGCCAAGAGTGTGGCTAAATTCTTGACGTTTCGCGTATCCCCACCAGCGACTGCTGGATTCGCAATTATCTGGCTCTGTGCCCCAGACGACCTGATTGACCCGCCCTCTGGAACCGTCCTTTGGGCCGCAGATCATAAAAAAAAGTATCCCCACCAGCCATGGTTTTTCCTTCGGATCTTCCTGACGGCGCGCGGCTCTTCCGCTTGCGCTCGCGAACAAAAATGGTATGCCCACCAGCCCATCCAGAAACGATGCCCATGAGAGCTGACAGGGGGAGAGAGGAAGAGACTCGCATAGTCAAAGGATGTTCGCTTCTTGGCGGCCTCCTGGGGAGGCTCCGTGGCCATCTTGAGCCGTCTTGGAGCGGTCTTGAGACCTCGTGGAGCATCTTGGGAGCCATCTTGAGCCGGCTTGGGCTATCTTGAGCCATCTTGGATATCATCTTGGGCTCTCTGAGGCCGCTTGGGGGCCTCTAGGAGGCCTCTCGGGGGCCTCTTGGAGCCCGCTTGGGGCCTCTTGGGGCGCTAGTGGAAGCCTCTTTGGGGCCTCTGGGGAGCCCTGGAGGGCCTCTTGGGGCCATCTTGGAGGCGGTCGGTCAAACGAGGGAGGGGGCCACGATCCTTGTGAGGGGCGGCGGAACATGTCCCTCCCAATGACAGAAAAAGGAGCCTCCGGCAAAAAATGTCCCTCCCAATGGCCGAAAAAGGAGCCTCCGGCACCTCGCGATCCCTCCCAAAAAACCTCAGGGAGGGGAGGGGGAGGATTCACCTCCTCGAAGGGAAGATGGGTTGTGCAAGAGGAAAAGACCCTCCTTAGACCACCTGTCGCCCAAAGGGCTGGTGGGATTTGGCCTGCTGCCTGCCGCCGCGCAAGCGACGCGCAGCACCTGAGCCCCGCAAACAAAGAAAGCAAAAACAACGGTTCGGGGGCAAAGGCTACCCTCTGCGACGGGCATCGCGCAGGCGCACCGCCCCGAGAGCCAGATCACCGCGCGGCACGCTGCAGGGGGGGAGGAGTCGACGAGAGCGCTCGGTGTGGCTCCCGCTACAGCCAGCCCGCAGAGTAAGGGCGGGCACCTTCGGATGCAACTCCTGGGAAGTCAACCTCTGATTCTGCCCTGGGCGGAAATCCGATTTCATCCGGCTTATTCCGGCTCAATCCAGTCTATTCCGGTCTAATCCGGCTGAATCCCGCTCAATCCGCAGGCTGATTTTGCGTCGTAGCCCCCCTATGGGGCTGAATTCTCCTTAACCTTTCCGTCGAAGACCTCCCAGTAGTTGCCTCCTACGGTACCCGTCGGTCGTTGAAGGTGGGTGTTTTTGGATTCCTGGATGCCGATCTGCTTTAGGCGCCTTCCTGCTTCAATGGTCGAGTGGCTGCACCTTTCCATCCTCCTTAGGGAGCGGACGGAATCCAATGTATTTTCAACGCTTTCCTACTTCATGTTTCTACCTACTTCCGACCGATGGGTAACCTTCCCACGGGTACCCGTGCATCCTGGCCTCCTCGGTCCATCCTTGGCCACTTTTGTTGGCCGCGCCCCGCTCGAAAGGCTTCGAACTGGCCCTCCAAGGCCCCTGCATCCTCATCGCGCATCCGGACGATACGGGCCGGCTGTGCCTGCTCTGCGGCCTGGGGGGTCCGAAACAGGTTTGGCCTTTCCACTCCAGACGTTCCCGCACGCAGAGCACACTCCCCCCCAGGGGCGAGAGACACTGCTGCAGATGCTGCTCTGCTGCGCCATCGGAGTGTGAGCTGAGTAGCAGAGTCGCCCACTACGACGTCACACCCATAATGCAAGTCTAACAAGTGTTCCACCTCGATCGCCTCGCCCTCCACTTTTTGGAGGAGGGGCTCAAGCTCTCAGGGAGGGGGAGGGGGAGGGGGAGGGAATGTCGAGAGGCTGCGAGACGATCAGGCGCGACCAGGAAAGGGTGTCCCACTCAGGCGTACACGCCGGACATTGAAAGTCTACTTCAAGAATCGATGTTCTTTTGATGTGGTTTATTATTCTCT